AATTTTTCTACATCTGTGAAGAATGATGTTGGTATTTTAATAGGGATTGCATTGAATCTGTAGATCACTTTGGGTAGTATAGACATCTTAACGATGTTGATTCTACCAACCCATGAGCATGGTATGGTTTTCCACCTGTTTACATCCTCTGCTATTTCCTTCCTCAATGTTTCATAGTTTTCCCTGTAGATCAAGGGCTATTTTTGGTTTAAAGGTTTACATCTTTCTGTAGCTCTGGGAAACTTTCTTCTTCCAGTGGGAAAATTCTTCTCCTTCCTCCCTCCCTTTTCCCCTCTCCTTCTGGAACTCCTTATTAAATGGACATTGAGGGTTTTTGATCTATCATTGGTATCTCTTAACTTCCATCTTTTTGGCTTGATCAGTTGGGATATTCAAGTGCTTTGCATATTAGTTCTCCATGCCGAGGAAACTCTCAGTTTGGTCCTTCTAATTACTAATATTGTTTTCAACAACCTCCATTCCATTTTTGTCCTTCTCCTTCTCTTAGAGATATTTATGACATTTTTACTTTTAAGAACTCTTTCTTGTTTTCAATACTTTCTTTTTCATAGCAATCTGCTCTTGCTTCCAGGAAAATGGCAATATCCTTTTGTGAATGGAATGGGATGCAGGTTTTGAAGTGCTAATGGCTTTTTTAAAAAATCAATTTAGTCTCACCTGCTTCATACGGACCAGAAATTCCTCAAAGATTTTCATTTCCTGATGGAATACTTACCATATTTCCAGCTCTAATACTATCCTTATTTGTCTATTTCTTCTGTCATTGCCTGGCCTTTTGGAATTTTGTAAATCCACCACTTTGAACCAGAAATCCTCATGGCACATATTATAGTAACACCTACTATTTTATTATGAGTTTGCAGCAAGAGTTGCAAAGACAGACTGTCCTACACCACATCCATATGTCATTATTTAGGAATTTGGTTTTTAACATAAACAGTGTAAAGACCTACCTTTACACACTGCTGTCTGAACTTTGGCGCTCCATTTTCCAGAAGTGGTGCATCTCACTTCTTCTCTGACTCCAGATAAAATGAATCCTTTGCGGCAACTTAGCTGACAAATTGTCCCAGGTTTGGCAGGCTGCTTACCACAGTTGTGTGGAGACATGATGACACCTTTGGGCTTCTGGAAGGTGGAGCAGTGGCGCTCTATGGTGAAGAAATGAGAGAATGTTATTTGTGTTCACACAAATTGGAAATGCCATGGATTCTTTTTACCCAAGAAACATACATTTGTGCTGCCTTGGGATTGACATAAGTTGTTAAATGACAATTATATATGAAATTGAACATAGGATGTATTGTAAATAATGCTAAACTATATACCTCTTTAGTTGCCTCTTATTATTTTGCCAGTATATAAAATCTTGAAAAACTTCTGATGTTTTAATCAACTCTGATTGCGATCTTCATAATTTGCATGGAACACCTTCATTTGGTTTTCAGAAAATTATCTGATGGCTTTGAAGTATAAAGTAGTGAATTGAATTCCATCTTTGATGGGTTAAGTGATATATTAAGCAATCAATCTCTATTTTATGAGCTTTTTGGTGCTATCTTTAAGTAAGCACATAATGATAAAAGTTTTTATACCCTCCTTAAAATCACTATGTTATAATTAGGGCCTTGATCCTTAATGTTATATTCAGCACAGACAAAGAATAGCAGACAAATTATGCAGAACGCAGACAGAATGGAAAATCAAGGCTAGGACTCAATGCAGAGAGTGTGTGTGTGTGTGTGTGTGTACCAGCAAATGCCCATATGCGTATTTGTTTATTGTAGTAGCAATTCTACTAGCAGCATTGCTCACATTAATAGTTGACATTTATTCACCTACTATGTGTCAGGCATTATTGTAAGCACTTTACGTGTATTGACACATTTAATTCTATGCAGCAAGAAATATTGCCATTATTCCCATTTACAAACAAGAGAACTGAGAATAGTAGTAGCTTTCCTGGGGTCACCACACAGATAAGTGGCAGAACCCATGTACTCCGAGACACTCTGACATCATACCTCCTCCTTGAAATGATTTCTTTCAAAACTCTGTGCCAGCAAAAGTCATTTTCCCTGAGAAATTGGTTTGTCTCTTCATTTTTGCACAGTGTGAGTCACGTGCCTGCCCAGACTTCCTGTTCTGCTTCGATCAACAAAGAAATCAGAGCCAAATTTGTGGTTCAAATATAATGACTATGTGAGACTCAATATTCTTAATTTAGGGTTGGACCTCTATAAAGTAAGAAAATTATCTGTTGGGCTGTCAAAATTGTTGAAGATATTATTCTTTTTTTTATTGCTTGTTTATGGTACTTTGGGTGAATATGTCTTTAACTTTTATATAGTATAATCTACTGATTTTTTTTCTTCTTAAAGTATTTCCATTGCTTTTATTCTTAGTAAATTCTGAGATTAATTAGCATTCACTTATATACATTAACTATATTCTCTTCTGGTTTTAATTATCTTATTTTTTACTTTATATTTTAAAATCTGGGAATAATTTATTTCAATGTCTGATGTGAATAAGTGACACACAAAAATTTTATTTTATTTTGTTTTTCTCAAGGAGCTGATTTTCCTATATGATCAGTTGAATAGTCTTTTTTTCCTCAACTGATATGTGGTGCTTCCTTAATATTACATGAAACTTGTATGTTTCAGGATCTATTCTGTCCCCATGATCTGTGTGGCAATCCTTGCATATTCCTAATTTTTGCAGCTTAAGTATATATTTTAAAACCTGGTAGAGTTACTTTCTCTTTATTATTTCCATTATTCTTCCTTTTCAAACTAATTTTAATGATTTTTGACTGTATATTATTCTAGATGAACCCTGGAATCACTCTCTAATATCAAAAAGGGGCCAGAAAGAAAATCCCTTTCAGGCTGTTGAATGAGTTGCATTTTACTTACATATATTTGGAACGAATTTAACATTTTGATAACATTTTATATAAACATTAAAGTATTCTTTTTGTCTCTCAGTAACATTTTCTGTTTTGTTTAATAGAGGTTCCACACATTTCTGTTTAAGCTTCTGACATATTTTACATTTTCTATAGATTTTTTGAATGTGATATTTTGTCATATGTTCTATTTATCATTACATATAGAAAAGCTGTTTATTTGGTATTCTTATGACTTTAATGAATCTCACTTTTTTAGTAGATTCATTCTGTTGTGTAGGTAGACTTATAGTCTACAAATGATGATGATTTTGAATCCCAATATCTCTAATCTCAGGATTTATTACAACACTAAAAAAATGGACAATCTAAGCATCTTTTTCTTTTTCCAGATTAAATAAGACTGTCTATACTGTTTCTCAAAAATAGAGAACTTCAGGTTTAAGATGGACATTTTTTATTATATCGGAAATATCCATATAATACAAGTTTCTTAAAATTTTATTGAAAATGTGTTTTAAATAATAATGAATGCATTTTCATCTACTAAGCAACCATACAAATGTTTCCTATTTGTTATAATGATACAATTTATTATGTTGATAGATTACCTAATTTTAAACTCTTTTTGCATTCCTAGGATAAACTCTACTTATTTTGGTAGATCATTCTTTTGAACGTGGATTACTAGTATATTTGCTGTTATTGTTATACATAATGTTGGCCTATAGTTTTCTGTCTTTTTTAGGGGTAACAGTTATCAGCTTGACAACAAAATAATAATAGTTTGATAATATGAATTGGATAGATTTCCATTATTTGGGCCAAATTATATAGTATGAGAATTACTGTTACTTAAAAGTTTGAAAGAATTTCCCCTCATTATCCTGTAGTCATTTTTGGAGGAATATGAAGGGTTTTCAATTTATGTGCACAGATTCCTTGCACTTGTTCTTCTCCTAACTTTTCAGTTTTATGCTCATTTTCATTTGTTCCTGTTTAATAATGAAAGGATTTTTAATATTCACTCGTTCATAATTTTGTTTTTTTCATAAACGAAGTAGATCATGTTTAACAAAGCAAGGGAATTATGCTGCATTTGCTTTTTTTAAAAAAAAATCCATCCAAATTGGCCCCATTGTTTTAAAAAAGCATTGCTATTTGCTCTGTAAACTTCAGTGAGTTGGAAAACTGAATTCGGTGTGGAAGTTCTTTTACTAGTGGAGAGGAATAAAACAACATATTTGTCTTTGTATCTGTAACACCTGCATCTGTAATGTGGATGTGTATTGACATCCACCATGAGCCAGCATTTAGTTCTAGGTCTTCACAGAAAATGGGAGAAATCAGAGCAAGAGAAATGAATCACTCAAGGCATCACATCTTCCAGGAACTTACCCACACAGCGGGGTTCTGGACCATCCCACTGGGCATTTACTTGGCAGGTAAGCTTGGCACTTCCTTCTAATCTATACCCTTCATCACAGGTAACTAAACACATTGTTCTGTAGGACATTTCCCTCGTAGAACAGCTGATGTGGCCATGTTTGGGCTGGCGGAGATGGGAGCATGTTTTCACTATATAACATGAGAACATACAGCACATTTTACTAAATAAGGACAAAAATAATAATAAGTGTAGTAATGCTTGCACATTACAAACAAGAAAATTTTCTTTTCTTAAAATGGCAAACAATAAATAACACACCACCATTTTTTGAGTTGTTACAGGACAATTTAAAAGTCTATGTTTTATCAAATGCATTGCTCAAACAATATTACTGCCTGTAGCCCTCTGCCCATAGGTGGGAAACTTAAATTGTGTAAGAGGTTTGCCCTAAGTCGAAGAAGCTGTCTGTAGATTGGAGGTGGTTGACAAAGGGAGGTACCTGTAGCCCTCAGTTGGGCCTTTGCTGTGATTTTCCCGGCCGCGTTCCAACAAAAGGAAAGGGTCTTTTCAAGGGTATAGTTTTCATGTTCATGATCAGCTTGGTTTTCAGAACTCTTGGGCATATCCTGGACCTTTTCATGGTGCCAGCCTCTGCAAAGCTGCCCAACTTCTGCAGTCTTCAATTCCAGTGTTCTGCTTTCTGACCACAACTCTGGTTCTTCTAGTCTTTTCACCCCACATATCTTCCTGCAAATCCTAATTCATGGTGCTAATGTTGACTTATACGTTACCATTGGTTTACTTGTTTTTGCTGCTGTAGTGTAGGCTGCTAGTTGCCCACCCAATAGCCATTCTTTCTTCCCAGTTTTATTCAGCATAGTAATATGCCCAGCTAGACGATTACAACTCCCTACCTCCATTGTAATGAGAGCCAATGAGATACTGCTGGGATCGTGTGGGGCTTCTGGGGGAGCTTTTTAAAGGGAACTGTATCAATTGAGAGAGTATTTCTTTGCCTTCCCCTCTTTCTTTTTCTTTCTCCCACAATACAGACATAAAGGATAGTAGCCCAGCACACTACAGGAGAAGTATGTGATGCTATAGGAAAGCATCACACCTGAAGATAGCAGAGCAAAAAAGCTAAGGAAGCCTAGATCTCTGGTAACAATGGAGCTATCACACCAACTTCGGATTACCTACTTCTGTCCTTTTAGTTGAGAGAAAAATGAAGCCTTAATTGGCTTAAGACATTGTTATTTGGCTTCTTAATACCAGCAGCTGTACACAATTCCTAATTTCTTCTGCCCAGCATCCATTCACTTTTCCTTTGTTAATTTTCTAGGGAAAGATCTCTTCCCTCTCTCAGCTCACGGGATTTTTGCATGCTTCACCCGTGCTCACGGGTAAGGCAAATGACCTAGGATCACATTCCCCTGGTCTGAGGAGTGAGCAGGTACAACTGGTGACGTGGTTCCTTTCTCCACCTTCCTCGAATCTGTTACGAGAGAGCTGTCAGAAGGGTATTCACTAAGTCGTGGATGCTGAAAATGCCCCCACGCCTCAGCCAGCCTCAACACCACCACCAGTGGAAGTACCGTGGGGTGTCCAGAGAACCCTGCATTTCCCCAGTTCCGCCACCTCTGACTCTCTGGCCTCAACACTGTACTGGAGAAGCTGCAGGAGGGTACTCAACTGTCCCCGCCTCTGCACGTTGCCAAACGACGTCTGCGCTCTGCGTTCTCCTGGTAAGATTCACCCACTGCCCAGCCCACCCAAAACCCACAATGTGTCATAGAGTCTGTTTCCATCAATCCCCTCATGCCCCATATTCCTGTCGAGGGCAATCTCTTAGGAAGCCTAAGGCTCCACAGTCATCCCTCATTTCCCAGGGTTGTCCTCATGCAGCTGTGATCCAATCTCACCTTGCACCTGCCCCCTGGAATAATGATCAGTCCTCAGTAAACCTCCTCATATCCTAAGCCTCCCTTTTGAACTTTTCCTTCATCTCTTTTCCTAATCAAAATCTTATTGCCCCTATAGACAGAGCCTGCAGGTGAGGCAGGTGACTTTGTGGCTCCCTATTGCCTTTCCAGATCATTCTCTCTTCCTTCTTTCTAAAAACTTCCAGCTCTATTGAAGTATTAAATTATATATCCAACATCCTTTTTTCAGTTCTCTCTCTCTCTTTCTCCCTCTCTCATTCTCTCTCTCATACACATACCCCTTACTGATTTCATTATCTATGTAAATGATCATTCCAGTATCCTAGAGTCATATTCTTGACCTCCTCTTCTCTCAGGACCACACCCTTCACCCTACCTCAGCCTCCACCATTGCCATGTCCTCTAGACCTCGCCACCACCAGTCTGAGTGTCCCACTCTCTGACAATCCCCTCCTGTCTTCCCAGATCACGGCTTCAAGTGGTTCAACCCCATCAGTTTCTATACCCTACTGGAGCCTCTGATCTATTGTGTACTCCTCTTTAGAGAAAATCATCTCTGAAGAATTTTTACTCTCTTTCCACACTTTTTTTCCTCTAGTTCCAGCTTAGACCTTCTCTGAATAGAGTTTCCAATAGAGGAAGGAGGGAGGGGAGCAAAGGAGAAAGGAAAAGGGGAGAGTAAGGGGACGGGAGAAGAAAGGGAAGAGAAAGGGAGGGTAAAGGGAGGAAGAGGAAGGAGATGGGGGGAAGAAGAGTGCAGGGAGAGGTAAAGAAGTCAAAGAGTAGAGGAGAAGAATACAGTAGGGGGAGGAGGAAGAGTAAAAAAGGGAAAGGGAAGAGGGAAATGGGAGACTGTCCAGACCCATGGAAAATGCGCTCTCTCAGTCAGATGGCATGTCCATTCCAGGCATGCCCGGAGATTGGACAGAAAAAGAGAGTGGATGCCTGTTGAATACACCAAAAGATGGGCACATATATACAAATATTCATTTTGATAGCTTATAGATATAATCCTACAAGTATCAGGCATTTTACAAAACTAACAAATGAACAAAAAAGGCTACAAAAGAACAAAGCTCAGTTTGCTCTCAGATAGCACTTCTGAAACAATAAAGGCCACAAGACAACACAGTAATCTCTAAAGATATGTGAACAAAATATTTGAGACTCAAGAACTTTGTTGTCATTCTGGGTGAGAGTAGTTTTCACTCTTATACTTTTCTGCATTTCCCATTTTTTCACACCAGGCATGTATTTATTTATTATGAATATTTAAAAATAATAGGAAAGGAAGCTGGAGCAAAATATTCAAGCACATATTTAACTGAAGTCAGTGACAGAATCTATTCTGCAGGAACCCATCCAAAATTATATTAGTCAGCAGAACGTAAATATCGAGTGCATTAAATATAAGTTTAGGATTGATTACTCCTTACAGAAAATTCAAGAATTAGATTAGAGGTTAAACCATAAGCCCTAGCCTCTTTTATCCCTGGAATGGTTTGAATGAAAATCAACTATTAATAAAAAATGAGTAGAAATATTTTGCCTTCCGCATTTTAATTTATATTGCATGTGTCCATCATGCAAATAGAATCTTTATTGTCTCCAGTAAGTGCATAGAAATGTCTTGCCTTCTGCATTTTGACTTTTATTGCGTGTGTACATCATTCATAGCACGACGTCAAGTGCCAGGTGAGATTAAAAGGTGAATAAGATAAATTCTGATATATAAAATCTGGAAAACCATATTAAACAACTGTTTTGGCTTCAATAAACTGCTGAAACGACTCCAGTTTTCCAAACCCAAGATAAAATGGATTTGCAACATCTCTCAAGAGTATTGATAAGAAATTAGAGTTGGTATCTCATACAGATACAGATTATATTGCTTCTCAAATGTTGGTTTTAATAAATTTTCATTGCTCCCCAAGGGAAACAAAGCATATGCAATAATTCCTACTTAGTCCTTAAACATTTAATACTCTTTTTCACTCAAGAATGATGACTTATCACCATTTTTAATAGGAATACACTTGTCTTATTATTTTCAGCCTGAATTTTTTTTTCATTTCAATAAGCTAAAAAATCCTACAATTAATATTTCTTGACTTATGTTCATGTTAAACCAATCCCTAAATATTTATTTAGTCTTTTTGGAAAACAGCAACTTAGTCTTTTGAAAGAACAATCTACTTTGTAGTAGACACTAAGAATCTACTCTGGTAAAGTAGGTTACTTTAAAGGCTAATCTTAAAGGCTAATCATATTTTTTTTTCCCTAGACACATGGTTCTTGTCAATCTACAAATTGTGATAGTATCTGTTGCTGAAAATAAAATAAATCTGATGTTAAATATAAGGATCTCATTGTTTGAAACCTTTTCTCAGGTTTAGCTAGTTATCATTGAGAAACCACAAAAGGACCCTTCCTTGTTTAGAAAAAAATGCATAATTCAGATAAAACTGCAAATGAGTACAAGTGCTTTATGAAGAGTGCCTAGGACAAATAAGAATTAAGCTTACTAATTATTATTCAACACCACAGAAACATTAACAATGTAACATGAAATTTGTTAAAGGCATTAGATTTTACACAGGTCTTTCATTTCTGCCTCAGTCTTAGAGAGATTGAAGGAAAAATAGCATTACTAAAATTAGTCTCTGTCCTTACAATCAGATTTAAATTAGATTTGTAAAAATTAATACTTTCTTTATACTACCCACCCTGAAACAGTAATGAACCCCTACCCACTTGCCTTATTTCATTGAATCCCATATACCTCAATTATAAGGCACATCATTATTTTGTGTGCCACTAATAAAGAAACAATAACACCAGTGAAAGTGTTTGCTGCCACTGGTGTTAAGATGCATCTCAATTTTAGAGATGTTAATATGTGGAAAAAAAGTATTTTCGATTTAGTAAAATATGGTATATGTTTCATAGAACAATATCTCATGTAACTAAATCCATTAACCATTAATGATGTGGCAGGGGAAGGGCATGCACGGCTATTTTTTTAATATCTATTTTTAGTTGTCCAGCTAATTTCTTTCTATTTTTAGTAGAGACGGGGTCTTGCTCTTGCTCAGGCTGGTCTCAAACTCTTGAGCTCCAATGATCCACCCACCTCAGCCTCCCAAGGACAACTTTGTACACTGGTAAGTTAGTGGTAGGTTTGATGTTGATGTTGAGGGGATCTTAGGAAGATCCATGGTCCTGTAGCATCTCTCCTATTCTGA